CCGCTCGCTGCGCCGTCGGGCCTCGCCCACCCGCACGTCGAGGCGTTGCGGAGGGAGCAGCAGCCCCGTGGGCGGCCGGCGTCGTTCAGCAACGGCGATGTGCCATCGCGGCAGGGTCTCTCGCCCCCACAGGTCGCGAGCGCACCGGGCGCCTCGAGCCCACGCCGGCGATCCCTCGACGTCTTTGGCGAGCGTTCGGAGCCCAGCTCGTCGGGAGAAGGTGCCGCCGCCGCCAGCCCGCGGCGAGGCAGCAAGAACGGCGCCGCTCCGCTCGACGAAAAGTACATGGCGCTGCTGGTGACGGAAAAGGAGCTCCTCAAGCGCCGTCGCGACGACGTCGTGTTTGGCCTGGGCAACAGCGCCAGCGCCATCGAGTCGGACGACGACGACGGCGACGGCGACGGCAACGACGGGGAGCGCAGGCGCGGCGCAGCCGCGAGGACGGGCGAAGAGAGCAGGTCGGACACGACGAGGGGCCGGAGCCCGGTGCCCAAGGCGTCGACGACGTCGGTGGCCAGTCAGGAGCTCGTCGCTTCGTCGCCGCCGTTGCCGCCCACGGAGGCTGCCGCCGTGGTAGCCGAGGAGGCGCCTCTGCCTTCCACGGGCGACCGCGTCGAGGCTTGAGCGAGCAGGCAGGCAGGCGTCGTCGATGCTGCCCATCCCGGCCTTTGTCACTCGCCTGTTCAGCCGGTCAGAGGGCCGTGGGCGGGTCGCCTGAGCTTGCATGCAGACAGACACCCCACGACAATACGACAATGGTCCGTCACCGTCACCGTCACCGTCACCGTCACCGCCACGAGCCGTCAGCGTGTGCACATCTCGTCTGTGAAGACGAAAGGGGGTGGCATCAAGGTGTCGGCCAGCACGGTGGGCGGGACAATCGGGCTGCTCGAGCTTCGTGGTCAGACAGCGAGGCAACGGGCAGACAGGAGGAGTGGAAAGCACCAGGTGCTCATCTTGCCGTGGTAGCTCGGTCGCGGCTGGAGCGCGCAGCTTGTCCCGTAGGCTGGCCCCCGGGTGCTCAGCAGGTCTGTCCGTCTGCTAACTACCCCGCCCTCCGCTGCTGGGCCAAGGGCCCCTTTCAAGGCCCACTGCGCCCGACTTTCGCGCCGGGTAGAAAAGTTGAAAAAATTGGCGGCCAAAAAGGCGCGACCTCGGCAGGCGGCCGTCGAAATGGCCCTGCGCTTCCTCACCTCTTCGTCCTGGATCCTTGTCGCGGCTCCTGGCCACCATCATCCTTGCCGCCCCTCTTATCCTTCGTTCCGTCCCCCTCTCTCACTGTAGCCGTTACAACAGACGCCGGCCCTCTCTCTACGGCGGTGGTAACGCAGAACGGCATGGTCAAGGCCAAGACGGATCCCTCGGCGCCCGCCGCCGTCGTCCAGCTGCTCGACCAGATCGAAGCCGCGGGTCCAGCCTCTTTGTCTTCGCCTTCGTCTTCATCTTCGCGCTCGCAGCTCGACGGCGCTGCTCTGAGCGAGACGTCGACGTCATCTGCATCCAAGACGTCGACGGATGCAGCGGCAGCGCGTTCGCTGGTCGCCACGCTCGTCGCGCTGCTGCAGCGCTGCCTGGACCTCATCTACGAAGACGAGCGCACCGACGAGCTCTCGCCCTCTCTCAAGTACGGCCTCGACGGCCTCCGCATCTGGGCCAACCGATGCGCCCATCTCGCCGCCCTCCCACCGCTCGTCGATGCCGCGCCGCAGGCTCGAGCCCAGCTGCTCAGCGTCGAGCACCAGCTCAAGCTGTCCAACGTCATCTGGTCCGCCTGCCACTCGGAGCGCACCCAGATCGCCACCCGCTCCAAGGCCGTCATCGAGGCCGTCGTGGCGCTCCTCGACCGCATCGCCGACCCGCTCGCGGAGCGCGGGCCAGTCCTCCCCTTCCCCGGCGATGCGCCGTTCGTGACCGACCTCGTCTCTCGCTCGTTTGCCCAGCTCGAGCGCAAGCAGGCACCCATCATCCTCGAGGTCCTGCTCGCCAAGTACGGCTCTGCGCCCTTCCGACAGAGCGGGCCGGCCGGCGCGAGCTACACCGACTCCCAGATCTACCAGCGTGTCGTCAGGGGGCTCGGCACCGTCGATGGCGGCGCCAACCGGCGCTCGAGGCTCGCCCTCTCGTTCCTGCAGGCGAGGGCCGCCGATCTCGGATGCCAGCTGTCGCGCAAGGCCATCGCAGGCGCCGATCTCCCGGCCGGCGAGCAGAGCGACGAGGCGTGGCAGCGCTGGTCCGCCATCTGGCTCGGGCCGCTCAAAGCGGCGCTCGAGGACGGCGGCGAGCGGCTGCGGTCCGGCCTGGCCTCGTACCACCTGGCACCGCTCTTTGAGATGGATGCGCGCGTCTTTGGCCTGCTCCTCGACAGCATCATGAGGCCGCAGGGCGACGTGACCCGCGACGGCCGCGGTGGCGGTGGCGGTGACGCCGGCGGGAGCGACGGCGGTCATGCCGCCGGCATCAATGTCGAGGCCATCTTCATGGTGCTGCGGATGGGCAAGACGCAGGGCTACTGCCAGATCAGCGGCGACGCCGCCGACTTCTCCACCGAGATGGGCGCCGACGGCTCCCGGCGCGTGCTGGTGCCCTCGACGCTGCTCAAGGACTGCATCCTGTCGGCCGCCTCGGAGCTTCAGATCTCGACGCTCTCGCTCGTCATCGAGTCGCGCACGCCGGCGCTCGCCTTTAATGCCGCCGAGCTCGACATCCTGCGCACCTTTTTCCCCTACAGCCTCACCATCTCGAACCCGGGCGCCCGCGGCGAGCTGCGCGGCTTCTTTGTCAAGATGCTCACCCGCCTGCGCGCCAGCTCCTATGCCCTGGCGCGGGACGCCTCCAAGATCACCCGCATCGCCGAGCACGAGCGGCTCGACGGCGAGAGGGTCAAGCTGGCCGAGCTCGAGCGCGACCTCGACGCGGTGCGGCGCTTCCTCGAGTGGATCTACGCCCTGATCCGCCAGGCGCTCCACCCGGGCGCCTCGTACCAGGCGTGCATCACCGCCCTCACCTTCCTCGACCTCGTCCTCGAGAGCGGCATCGACCCGCGCTTCTCGCAGCCGGGCGCGGCCGGCAACGGTGCCGCCAGGGCGACGGAAAAGACGCTCACCAAAAACGCCGGCATGACGCTGGCCAAAAGCAAGCAGGTCTTTGTGCAGGAGTTCCCCTTTACCCTCGACCTCATCTCGCCGGCGCTCGTGCAGCTGCTGCTGTCGTGCTCCGAGAGCACCTACGACGACATCCAAAACCGCGCCCTCACCATGCTCGTCCGCTTCCTGGCGCCGCTGCCGGGCCTCACTGAGCGCGACGCCGCAGCCGCCAGGATCCTCGGCAAGGCGGCCCGCCTGATGACGAGCTCGAGGGACTTTGAGAGCGCCGCCGCCAGCCGCCTGATCCAGCTGTACAAGGCCGTCTACATCGACCGGCTCGGCTGGCCGCCGTCGTCGCTGCTCGAGCTGGCCGGCTTCCCGACGCCACGGCTCAAGGATGCCGCCGGGGGGCAAGCCAGCGACAACAAGCAGATCCAGCTGATCCGCCACCACCTCGACCTGCTCTCGCACCTGCTGAGCGTCGCCGAGTCGGGCAGGATCCTCGAGGCGGCCACATCGTACCCGCTCCACGGCACCCTCGTCACGCTGCAGGAGCTCTTCGCCTCGGTGCGGCTCGCATCGCTCCCCGAGGCGGACCGTCAGGAGTTTGGCCGCGCCATCGAGGAGGCCGAGGCCATGGTCGACCGCACCTGGAACGTCACCAAGGCCGTGCTGTGCAACTCGGCGCCCGAGGGGAGCGTCGGCGACGGTGGCTCGGCGGCCGCAGCGATCGCGGCCGAGGAGAACGCCGACGATGGCACCGCGGGCCTCCACCAGCCGACGCACGAGTCGGCGCGGGCGATGCGCATCGCCGACGCCGATGGCAAGGCCGACGGCTTGGAGCAGCAGGAGGAGTCGATTGCCGGACCAAAGCACCAGGTGATTCTGTCGTACTCGTGGCGCGGCATGAAGGAGGCGTCGGCGCTGCTCGGCGCCATTGTCGCATCGACGCTTCGAGGCAGCGGCAGCGGCAGTGGCGACCCCACGAGCCTGTGGACGCCGGCGTCGATCGAGGCAGTCGGCGCCCGCTTCAACCTGTGGCTGACGCAGGTGCGCCACCGCGGCGCCTTCAGCACAATCTACCCGGCCTACTGCAATGCGGCCGCAGCCATCGTCCGCAGCGGCTGGAAAGAGGTCGAGGCGCTGCCCCGGCGGTGGATCGAGACCTTCCTCGACGCCGTCGCCCAGCCGGGCACCACGCTCAGCATCACGCGGCGCAGCGCGGGCATCGGCTACGCGGTGCTGGCGCTCGTCAGCGCGCACCCCAACAAGACCGACACCAGCGTGCTGCTCGCCACTGTCCGTCGCCTCATCGACATCGCCCAACGTGGCGCCGCCTCGTCCGAAGAAGGAGAAGGGGAGCGCAGCGGCGAAGCGGCGCCTGCGTCGCTGCCCGTGTCGGCGATCCACGCCCTCAACATCCTGCGCGTCCTCGTCTCCGACGGCCAGCTGTCCGAGTACATGTCGCCGTTTGTCGGCCAGCTGCTCGAGCTGACCATCTCCAAGTTCTCGTCGAGGTTCTGGGGGCTGCGCAACGTGTCGATGATGCTCTCGTCGAGCCTCTGCATCCGCTGCTTCAGCTCGCGCCACACCAACAAGGACACAAAGGACGCCAGGATGCCGGTCGACGAGTTCTTCGCCACCTACCCGAACATGGAAGCGTTCCTGCAGCGCACGCTCGAGGACAAGACGGTCGACGCCGGTCCCAGCGCCGGCACCGTCAGGGGGGTCAAGCAGGACGAGCAGGCCGAGTCGAGCGTCTTTGCCGTGCTGATGCTCTTCAGCCGGATGCAGGCGCCCGAGCTGCCGTCGAGCAACCCGCGCCACCGCGAGCGCCACGCTTCGTTCGCCGCGCTCATCGCCCGCTGCGCATCGAGTCCCGTCTGGAAGATCCGCGAGATGGCCGCCAAGGCGTACGCCGCCGTCGTGCCACTCACCACGGCGGCCGAAGCCTGCATCGGCCTGCTCCAGGGCGGCAGCGCTACCAGGCAAAATGAGCTGCACGGCCGCCTGCTCATGGTCCACCTGCTGCTCCGCAGCCCCAGGGAGAGCGAGGCGCCGTCCTCGTCGCTCGAGCCGGGCATGTCGGCGCTTGCCGACGCGCTATGCGACGGCGCCAAGCGCTTCCTCGTCGACAACCGCTGCCCCGCCACGCAGCTGGCCTACCTCGAGGTCCTGCAGGACTTTGTCGGCATCCGCAGCGCAGACTACCGCGCGCTCGGCGACCGGGTGTTGGCGGCGGCGTGTCCCTGGATCTCGCAGAAGCTGGCTGCGCCCTCCGCGCAGCTTCAGGAGCTCCTGCGCGTGCCGCACGGGCCGAGCCTGCTGTCGACATGCGCGAGGGTCGTGCTGCAGGCGGACGGCCGGCAACTCGGCACGTCCGACGCTGGCGGCGTCGGAGGCGATTCCCTCCTGCGCTCGTGTGTCGAACTCGTCTCGCACCCGATCGAGGACGTCCGCCTTTCCGTGCTCGAGGCTCTGGCAAGCGACGAGGGGTCGGCGCTCCGGCGGGCGGCGGCTAGCTCTGCGGTGGCCAAGCAGCTGCTGTGCGAGTTTGGCCGCAAGATCCACCACAGCATCAGCATGGCCGGCGAAGGCATCTGGGTCCGCATCAGCGCGGCCGAGCTGCTGCACAACCTGCTGTCCGGCCCCAGCGCGGACGGCCATACGCAGGTCGCGTCGGATCTGGCCTCGGCGCTCTTCCCCAGCGACGCGGCCCTCACCGACGCCGTGGCAGAGCTGACCAGGGTGGCGAGGACGACGCCCATCGTGCCTCTGCGCGAGGCGCTGCTGCCCTACATTGCCGGCCTCTGCCACGCGCTCTGCGCGGCCACTGCGCCCGAGGCGGGGCTCGATGCGGGCTCGCGACTTACGGTGGTCGAGACGTGGTGTCGCACCGTGGCCCGCTGCGCCGACGAGAACGAGTCGGTGCAGTCGCGCGAGGCGGCGGGCCAGGCGCTGCGCACCATGGGCGCCTACCTCTTCCCCGCGGCATCGGCGGCCGACCTGCTGGGCAAGCAGTCGGCCGACGTCTTTGCGGCGCGGCTCGCATCCATCAACCTGCTCACCGACGACGACGAGGACGTGCGCATCGAGGCCGCGGCCATGATCGGCGAGACGATCGCCGTCTCTGGTTCCGGCTCCGGCTCCGGCTCTGGCCCCGCGACGTCATCCCGTGACCCTGGCGGCGAAGACGGCGCAAAGAAGCCGTCGGCCAACCTCTTGGCGCTGACCCGTGTGGCGCGCAGCGGTGGCGCGAGCAGCGAGGTCAGCACCGACCGAGCCTGGTCCTGGATGGCGCGTCACTACAGCGCCACCGCCACCAGCACCGTCTGGGCGGAGCATGTCTGGTCGCAGCTGGTCCCGACGCCCGATGCATCCGGTGAGTTCCTTGGCGCCACGGCAGCCCCCGTCAGCGGTCCTCGTCCATCGTCACTGACGCGCTCGTGTCACCCTTCCCGTCTCTGATACTGTCGCCTTGCTGCTCTGGTCGCCGCGCCGCTGTTCAGCTCGCGAATTCAACGAGGCCTTTACGCCCTCGACGATGCTCTTCACCGAGGAGAAGCCCAACCAGTTCCGCGACCCGGAGGCAACGATCCGCCGGGCTTTCGCATCGGTCGTCTCGGGCGAGGTCGAGCCGGCATCGTCTTCGCTGGCCGCCCAGCTCGTCGAGAGGACCCTGGGCGAGGTGACGCGACTGGCAGACTGCCTCGGCCTCTCGAGCTCCGCCGCCGATATCGCCCCCCCTTCTGGTCCTCCCGGTTCCGCTGCTGCTGCTGCTGCTGCTACCGCTGCCGCTGCGGGTGCGGACGGCGCCAACGACGTCAAGACGGATCTGGTCGGAACGCACCTGCTGGCGACGCGGGTGGTGCTCGCCTTCACGGCGGTGCAGCGGAGCGGCGCCACGCGAGCCGCGGCGGTCGAGCATGCCAGGATCGACGCGGCCGGCGCGGCGGTGTCGAGCATCGTGCGGAAACTCGGTCTCGATGCCGTCGACGTCGATGTCGATGTCGATGTCGATTTCGACGCTGTCGGCGTTGCGCCTCCCCAGCCGGACGCAGCGCTGGAACGGGAGACGGGACGCGAGCAAGGCAAGCCGAGCTACAGCATAGCGTAAGCGTCCCAGCGTCCCAGCGTCCCAGCGTCCCAGCGTCCCAGCAGCCCAGCGGCCCATCGCCACCGCCCGTCGCGCGCGCTAGCTCGCCCTCATCGAGAGGACAGCGAGATGGCGTCGACCGGTCTCGTTGCTGCCTCGAACATGTACTTTTATTGCCTAGCCAAAAATGCCTCCATCCGGTCGAGGTCGAGGACAGGAAGCAGCAGCAGCAGCGACAGTCTTGACTGACGCCGTCGTCCTCCTCCTCTGCCGCTCTTCCTCTCCCTCGTCCCCCTCCCCTGGCCACGTCACTGCCTGCCTGCCTCTTGCCGCTCTCCTCTGTGCCGTTTGCGGGGTACACCTGTCGTGCTGTCTCGTCCGCCTCCCCCGCTGCCGCTGCCGCTGCGTCTGCCCGACGCCTCCCGAAGTATGGTCTCGGACTTTTTCTTTCCCAACGTCGGCGGTGTCGAGGGCCACATCTACCTCGTCAGCCGCGCGCTGCTCGACCTCGGCCACAAGGTGGGTCCATTCGCGCTCGCTCGCGCCCACATCCGCGCCACGGTTCTGCCCTGCTCTGCCCTGCCCTGCCCTGCTCTGCCCTGCCCTGCTCTGAGCTCTGACGCCGGTTCGCTCGCACGCTCGCACGCACGCACGCTCGCTCCTCTGCCGGCCATCGTGGGCCATCGCGTTGCACAGGTCATCGTGATAACGCACGCCTACCCGCCCCACCGCGTCGGGGTGCGCCACCTCTCGTCGGGCCTCAAGGTCTACTACGTGCCCTACGGCGTCATAGCCCGGCAGGACACGCTGCCCAACTTTTTTGCCCTCTTTCCGCTGCTCCGCTCCATCCTGCTGCGCGAACGCGTCGAAATCGTCCATGGCCACCAGGCCCTCTCGTCGATGGCCCACGAGGGCATCCTCCACGCGCGCACCCTCGGCCTCAAGACAGTCTTTACCGACCACTCGCTGTTCGGATTCGCAGACGCCGCCTCGATCCTCACCAACAAGCTCCTCCGCTTCGTCCTCAGCGACGTCGATGCCGTCGTCGCCGTCAGCCATACCGGGTGAGTGCCGTTCGTTTCACGCCTTCGCCTTCGCGATCGCTGTCCCGCCCTGCCCCCGGCCGCGGCCCCGACTGATACTCACACGGACGTGCGTCGCTCGATATCTTCGCGCGGACCGACGGCACGGACAGCAAGGAGAATACGGTGCTGCGTGCCCACCTCGACCCGGCAACGGTCTCGGTGATACCCAACGCCGTCGTGGCGGAGCAGTTTGAGCCGGACCCATCGCGCGTCGACCGCAGTCGCCGTGAGTGCCGCCGCGCTCGTCGTCGTCGTCGGATCAGCGGGCGCTGGACCTGGCATCTGACGCCGTTCCTTCCTTTGCCTTTCCTCGCCGCCCCGCCCCGTCTCGTCTCGTCTCGTCTCGCACGGCTTGGTGCGCGTCGCTTCGGCAGTGACGGTGGTGGTGCTGAGCCGCCTCATGTACCGCAAGGGCATCGACCTGCTCATCGCCGCCATCCCGCGCCTCTGCGCACGCCACCCGGACCTGCACTTCCTCATCGGTGAGCGCCTGCCTTGCCTCCCCGTTCCCTCTCCCTCGCGCGCATACGATCGTTTACCTGCGGCCCCCCGGCCTGACGATGCTGACGATCCTTGGTAAACTGGACGGTGCCCGGCGTACGACGGGCGCGGTGCAGGCGGCGATGGGCCCAAGCGAGTCGAGCTCGAGCAGATGCGCGAGCGCTACATGATCCAGGACCGCGTCGAGCTCGTCGGCGCCGTCCGACAGGGCGATGTTCGAGCCGTGAGTCTGCGGGCCGTCGTTCCACGTCGCCGAGCGCGGCCCACCGTTTCGAAGGCTGACAGCCTCTTTTCCCGCCTTGGGATGTCCTTTGATCCGCCTCCCGGCAGCACCTGACGCGCGGCCAGATTTTTTTCAACACGTCGCTGACCGAGGCGTTTGGCACGGGCATCATCGAGGCGGCGTGCGCGGGCCTGTTTGTCGTGAGCACAAGGGTCGGCGGCGTGCCCGAGGTGCTGCCGGACGAGATGGTGCGCCTCGCTCGACCCGAAGAGGACGGTAAGTGGCGCCCCACCCGCAGCCCCTGCCCTGTCCAGCAGCGCAGCGCCTTGGTCGACGAGCTAGAACCTCGAATCTCGTCCGAGCTGACCCGCAAACGCGATTCTTCCTACTACTGCCCGGGTGTCGCGCGCGCGCCGCGCGGTAGACGTGGTGCGGGCGATGGAGGATGCCATCTCGCACGTCCGGGCGGGTCGACACGACCCGATCGCGTACCACGCGGCGCTGCGGCGCATGTACTCGTGGAGCAACGTGGCCCAGCGGCTGGAGCGCGTCTACGACGACGTCGTCGCCCGGCCCTTTCCCCGTCCGACTGAGCGGTTTGAGCGGTGAGTGGTCGGGAGTGCCAGCCACAAGGTTCCCTTGACGACCGTGGGCGACCGACGACGGGTGGACCAAGCAGGCTGACAGACGGTCCCCCTTTGTCCCTGCTGGCTGCGACGGCCGCCTTCTTCCCCACCGGCTGCGCTGCGCTGCACGGCGCTGTGCAGCTACTACCGTGGCGGCGTGGTGGCGGGCAAGATCTTCTGCATCATTGTCGCCGTCGACCTGCTCTTTCTCAAGGTGCTCGAGTGGTTCCTGCCCGTCGAGCGCATCGATACGCCGCCCTCGCTGCACGCACCCCACCAGCGGCGGCGGACGGCGGGGCGTCGCCGGACCAGCGGGCCGAAGACGACGCCCGGCATCGACGACGACGACGACGAGATCAAGACGACGCCCGGCATAAACGACGACGGCGACGAGATGAACTCATAAGCCACACGGTCGGCCTTCGGGTGCGGATGCGGGTGCGGGGGACAGGGACAGTGACAGTCGTCGACGGGGCTGACGGATAGTGCGGGGCCCCTTCCGGGACGTGGCGGCGGTGACGAAGAGGGACCGCCGTAAGCCCCACGCTTGCCGTATCTGCCGGGGCTGTAGCATTCGCCCGAAAGAAGCGCTGCGGGGCGGCGCGCCTTCGGATCCGCCATTTCCCTTTGCTACCGTAAGCCGGGCGAGCGGGCGAGCGGGCGAGCGGCACGAGAGCCGCGTTTCGCGCGAGCAGCGGAGGCGTCGACGCCCTTTCCTTGCTTGGCTGCTTGCTTGAGCCTCGTCTTGCTCGGTGGCGCATGCCGCATGCCCTCGTAGCGGCGAAAAGGCAGCGCAGCCAAGCCGACGGCGAGGGGGGGCAAAGTCGAATGCTGAGATACGGTGGATGATCTGATCGATGCCGCCTGCCTAGCTCCTCGCAAGGGTGTGCGCATGCTGGCATGGCGTGGCCGGGCCTGGGTCGGCGTCCGAAGGTGCGCAGCGGCTCGACGGACCGGCGTGTCCGAAGGCGCCTACCTGCTTGTTGGCCCGCCGCCGCGTTTTCAGAAGGTGCAAGTCCAAGCCCAAGCCAGAGAAAGGGTCACGCCAGGCTGCCTGCCTGCCCTGGGCTGATTTTGGGCCCGCCGCCAGTTTGTTCGGGAGTTGCGCCGAGGCCGTGCTGCGCTCCTTCTTACGCTACCCGCGCTGCGTGGCCAGGCCAGGCTTACCCGCCCGCCCCCGCCTGCCTGCCTGCCTGCCTGCTGGCAAGACAGAGAATGCGGCCGGCGGGCCACACACACGGCAGCATCGCCTCCTTTCTCGCCGCACCGACCGCACCGACCGCACCGACCGACGCTGGCTTCCCCGCGCCGACCTTCATCTGGCCCTGGGTTGCTCTCGACGCCTTCTCTCCTTCCACCACCACCACCACCACCATCGCCTTTCCCTGCGCTTCAGCAAGCAACGCCACCTCTCCTCACTCCCGCTCACCCTCACGACTCCAACCACAGAGATAACCTGCGCAGCTTGCCTTCGTCTCGCTCGCAACGAGCCGTCCGTCTCCCGGCACTGACCGCCGCCACCCGCTAGCGCCACCGCCTCGCGGTCTCACCACACCTCGCCCCCCACGGGTCCACCACCACGATGGCCACCCAGGCAGACATCATCATCCTCGCCCTCGGCGGCCTGCTCGCCTTCCTCTACCTCTTCCGCGGCACCCTCTTTGCCAGCGGAAAGGCCTCCGACGCGGGATCCAAGCTCGCCGGCGGCTCCGACCTCGACTCGTCGGCAGACGCCGCTGCAAACGACTTTGTTACAAAGCTGACTTCACAGGTGAGTGTCGTGTATTGGCGGTGGTGGTGCCAATGGCGGCAGCGCAGCGCCTCGAGCCCCGCAGAGAGATCAATCCCCGCGACCGAGGAGCATGTCCGCTGACTGCATACGCCTCTGCTGGCCCTCTCCTCATTTTCCCCGCTGCTGCTCCACGAACCCCCGCCGCAGAACAAGCGCATCGCCATCTTCTACGGCTCGCAGACGGGCACTGCCGAAGAGTATGCCACCAAGATCGCAAAGGAGGCCAAGGCGCGCTTCGGCACCTCGTCGCTCGTGTGCGACCCCGAAGAGTACGAGTTTGAGAAGCTCGACCAGCTCCCCAGCGACTGCGTCGCCTGCTTTGTCATGGCCACCTACGGCGAGGGCGAGCCCACCGACAACGCCGTCGGCCTGATGGAGTTCCTCGACGGCGAAGACGTCCAGTTCTCCAACGGCAGCTCGCTCGACAACCTCAACTACGTCATCTTTGGCCTCGGCAACCGCACCTACGAGCACTACAACGCCATCGCCCGCAAGCTCGACGCCCGCCTCGAGTCGCTCGGCGCCAAGCGCATCGGCGAGCGCGGCGAGGGCGACGACGACAAGAGCATGGAGGAAGACTACCTTGCTTGGAAGGACGGCATGTTTGAGGCGCTCGCCTCGTCGCTCGGCTTTGAAGAGGGCGGCGGCGGCGACGTGGCCGACTTCAAGGTGCGCGAGGTGGCCGACCACCCCGAGGACAAGGTGTACCGCGGCGAGCTCTCGGCGCGCGCGCTGCTGGGCACCAAGGGCATCCACGACGCCAAGAACCCGTACAACGCCGTGGTCAAGGAGGCGCGCGAGCTCTTTGTCGAGGGCACCGCCGACCGCACCTGCGTCCACGTCGAGTTTGACATCGAGGGGTCCGGCATCTCGTACCAGCACGGCGACCACATCGCCGTGTGGGCCCACAACCCGGAGCAGGAGGTCGAGCGCGCCCTCGCCGTCCTCGGCCTGCTGGGCAAGCGCGACACGGTCATTGACGTCGAGTCGCTCGACCCCACGCTCGCCAAGGTCCCCTTCCCCGTGCCCACCACCTACGAGGCCGTCTTCCGCCACTACCTCGACATCTGCGCCCACGCCTCGCGACAGACGCTCAACAACTTTGCAAAGTACGCCCCCACGCCCGAGGCGCGCGCCAAGCTGGAAAAGGCGTGCGGCGACAAGGCCGCCTTCCAGGAGGCCATCGGCCACCGCTGCCTCAAGACGTTCGAGGCGCTCCAGCTCATCGTCGGCGACGACCTCGGCGGCGACAGCGTGGCCAAGGCGACGGCGTGGGAGATCCCCTTTGACCGCGTCATCTCGGACCTGCCCCGCGTCGGACCGCGCTTCTACTCGATCTCGTCGAGCCCCAAGATGCACCCCAAGACGGTCCACATCACCGCCGTCGTGCTGCGCTACCGCCCCGAGGCGGCCGGCCAGGACTCGCCCTACGTGCACGGCCTCGCCACCAACTTCATCAGCGCCATCAAGATGGCAAAGAACAACGAGCAGCCGTCGGGCCCCGACGACCCGCGCTTCGGCACGCCCGGCTACGACCTGGCGGGCCCGCGCGGCGCGTACACCAAGGAGTCGCTCTTCCGCGCGCCGATCCACATCCGCCGCTCCAACTTCCGCCTGCCGACGTCGCCCAAGATCCCCGTGATTATGGTGGGCCCGGGCACGGGCGTCGCCCCCTTCCGGTCGTTTGTCCAGGAGCGGGTGTGCAGCGCGCAGAAGACGTGCGACAAGGTCAACCAGTCGCCGGCCGAGGCGCTGCAGGACTGGGGCAACATCTGGCTCTTCTACGGGTGCCGCCGGAGCAACGAGGACTTCCTGTACAAGGACGAGTGGCCCGAGTACGCGTCCAAGCTGGGCGGCAAGTTCCAGATGGAGACGGCCGTGAGCCGGGAGAAGTTCAAGCCGGACGGCTCCAAGCTGTACGTGCAGGACCTGATCTGGGAGCGGCGCAAGGAGCTTGCGCAGGACATCCTGGACAAGAAGGCGTACATCTACATCTGCGGCGAGGCCAAGGGGATGGCGCACGACGTCGAGGAGATGTTTGGGCGGGTGCTCGAGGAGGCCAAGGGGTCGGCCGAGGCGGGGCGCCGCGAGCTCAAGCTGCTCAAGGAGCGCAGCCGCCTGCTGCTCGACGTTTGGTCCTAGGCGGCCAAGAAGGGGCCCGCTCCGCCACTGCCGCCATCGCGGCGGCGAGTGGCAAGGCGGCGTGGACGATGGCCTCCATCGCTCTCTGTCTCCGTCTTCATCCCTCTCCCTCTCTGCGTCTCTCTGTCTCTCTACAGGTGTCTCTGGCTCCCTCTAGCTCCCTGTGTCTCTTTATCTCTCTCACGTGTACATGACGACGATACGATTCCCGGCGACGGAAGACGACGACGGAGAGGTGTCGGTAGAGGCAAGACGAATGATCCAATGCGCGCTGGGGTTGCCAGGCTGTGCGATGCTGCTAGCTGGTAGCTGGATCGGGACGGGGCCAAAGGCAGGTCACGCAGCGTTCAATCGGCACTCGGGACCGGGCAGCAAGGCACGTTCTGAGCGCCCGGCGGGGCTGCGGGCTCGTTTGGCCTGGCCCTGGCCGGCCGCGGCGGATGACCCGCATTCGTCATGGTGCCTTTGCCGTGCCTTGCCTTGCCTCTGCCGGCCCTTTTTTCGCTCATTGTCGCCGGCCTGCCTGTGTGGGTGCGTCGCTGCCAACGAACTTTGCGGCAGGTTTGTTTCGTTGCCTCGACGTCGTCTTGCCTTGCCTTGGCTCCCCTCGCTGCCAGGCCATGCCATGCCTGCTTGCGACACCACGTCGGCCGGCCTCATGCGCTGACGATGGGTCCAAAGAGAGAGCAGCAGGCTAGGGCGAGACGAGGCGAGGCCAGGCATCGAAGCCTAGCCTGGGCCCCCCCAACGCTGGTGCAGCGGGCCGATGCGCTTTGTTCGGCCCAAATTTCCGCTCGACGAGGAAAAAGAAGCCAGCCTGGAAAGGCCCCCCCCCCCCCCCGGCTGCTGGCTTAGGCCGTCTTGGCAACGCCGATCCAGCCTGCCTGCCCGCGGCGAGGAGCGGCGAGGCCTGGCCTGGCTGCCCTACGTAGGTCGTTGGCGTCGTTTGAGGTGGAGAGAGAGGGGCAGAGAGCCAGAGCCAGAGGCAACGCCGGGGTGGTGGGTGCGAGAGGGCGTCACCGTCACCCTTTCTTCCTTTGCCCTGGCACTCCTCCTCCTCCTCCTCCTCTTCCCCACCTCCTCGCCGCCCGTCATCACCAACACCACCGCCCACCGCATCCACCTAGCGCACCCGCCTTGCGCATCCACCTAGCGCACCCGCCTTGCGCACCCTCCTCGCGCATCGTCGCGCTCCACCGCAACAAGCCTCCAACGCACGCTACTCGACGCTACGTGACCTCCCCCGTCCGCCGTCCCAACATGGCATCCATAAGGCTCGCCAACGCCGGCGCGCCCCCGCCAAATGCTCGCCTCCAGATCCAGGCGCAGCCCATCGTCAAGCTCGCAATCGTCCTCACCACCTCGCTCGCACACCTCATCGCTCCCGCACTCGCCTTCCCCATCGGCGGCGCCCACAACGGCGATGCCACCGCACCCACCCTGGCCGCTCGCGGCCACGGCGGAGGCGGCGGCGGCGACGACGCACCAAAGACCGACAACCCGGTCAAGCTCACTATCGACATCCTCACCATCGCCGCGCTCGTCGTCCTCGGCGGCATCTTTGCCGGCCTCACGCTCGGCCTCATGGGCCTCGACATGGTCAACCTCCAGGTCCTCTCGACCTCGGGCTCGGAAAAGGAGCGCAAGCACGCACTCAAGGTCATGAAGCTCCTCGAAAAGGGGCGCCACTGGGTCCTCGTCGTCCTCCTCCTCGGCAACGTCATCGTCAACGAGACCCTCCCCATCTTCCTCTCCGACTTTGGCGGCGGCGTCGCCGCCGTCCTCAGCTCCACGCTCCTCATCGTCATCTTTGGCGAAATCGTGCCCCAGAGCATCTGCGCCCGCTACGGCCTCGCCATCGGCGCATTCTGCGCGCCCATGGTCCACGCCACCATGATCATCATGGCGCCCATCGCATGGCCCACGGCCAAGCTCCTCGACTGGTGCCTCGGCGAGGAGCACGGCACGACCTACCGCAAGGCCGAACTCAAGACGTTTGTGTCGCTCCACCAGCAGGTCGGCACCGAGAACCTAAACGAGGACGAGGTGACCATCATCCGCGCCGTCCTCGACCTCAACGACAAGACCGTCGAGGACGTCATGACGCCCATCGACGACGTCTACATCATGTCGAGCGACACGGTCCTCGATGAGGACGGCGTCGCCAAGCTCGTCCGCTCCGGCTACTCGCGCGTCCCCGTCCACGAGCCGGGCAAGCCCGACGCCATCGTCGGCATGCTCCTCGTCAAGAACCTCATCCAGTACGACCCCGAGGACGCCCAGCCCGTCTCGAGCTTCCACCTGACGCCGCTGCCCGAGGCCAGCCCGGACCTCACGCTGCTCGACTGCCTCAACTACTTCCAGCAGGGCCGCAGCCACATGATCCTCGTCTCGAGGCACCCGGGAGAGAGCCGCGGCGCCATGGGCGTCGTCACGCTCGAGGACGTCATCGAGGAGATGATTGGCGAGGAGATTGTCGACGAGACCGACGTCTTTGTCGATGGTGAGTCCTTGGTCCCATGACACGTCGCCGTCGTACTTTGCACTGACCCGTCCGCGCGCCGCCCTCGAAATCACCCCTTCCTTCGCTCTTCTCTGCTCTGCCTCTGCCTCTGCCTGCCAGTCCACAACAAGATCAAGGTGGTGCGCAACCCTCGTCCGCAGGCCGACCAGCAGTCGTGGCAGCCCCTCATCCGCGGCATCATCGAGCGCCGTCGCAAGCTGGGCGGGCCGATGCGCACGCCGCTGCGCTCGTCGTACGGCACCATCGGCCGCCCCGAGGGCACCACCACCCCGGCCTCGAGCTCGGCTACCGGCGGCGGCGGCAACAACCACAATGGCGGATCCAACAGCAACAGCAACGGCGGCGCCAGCTCGCTGCCCAACCAGGGCATCGCGGCGCGCTACGGCACGCAGCCCGACGTGCGCGCCGTCAACAAGGTGGCAATCAAGCAGCCCAACGGCGCCGGCACGCCCGGCTCGCCGCTGTCGCGCGCCAACACGATGCCGCTGCGCCGCGAGTCGACGAGCTCGATGGCGTCGCACTCGACGGCCGACGGCGGCGGCGCCAGCGTCAACCCCGGCGAGCCGTTTATCGTCGAGGTCGAGGACGGCAGGCAGGTGCGCGTGCTCCACATTGAAGATATCAGCGAGGTGCCCTCGGCCGAGGAGCAGGCTACTAAAAAGGACGAGCAGGAACGTCGCCAGCAGCAGCAGCAGCAGCAGCAGCACGAGGGCGACGAAGGCGACGAGGATGGAGAGACGAAGCCGTTGCTCGGCGGCGGTAACGGCAGCAGCGGTGGCAACGGCAACGGTGGCAAGGGGAATAAAGGCGGCAAGGGCAAGCGGCGCGGGAAGAAGTAGGCACGGCGACCGGTCGACCCCGCGTCGGCTGGACGCCCTACTTTCTTCTATCTCCCCTCGTCCTTCGCCTCCGCCTTGGCCTTGACGCCTCGACTCGACGAGACTAGGGTGGACGCGGAGGACCAGACAGACAGACGCACGCACCATGCCTCTAGGACATTGCCGCGGGAACCTTCCTCGTCGGCCTTCGATCCCATCTACTTCTCTTCCTTTCCATCTTCATCGATTTCCGCTCCGTTGCGCACCGCACCGCACAGCACGCCAGAGCACAGCACAGCACAGCACGATTCGACCCATCTCGACGACAGACTCCCCTTTCCACCAGGGGCCACCAGGGGCCACGAGAGCGCTTCTGCCCACGCGGCCGAGCCGGACCGAGTTGCATACGGAGACGATGGGATTGCCGAGGAGAGATTGTGTGGACCTGGATCCGCTCGTCCGCGTCCCTCTTGCCCTCTGCACACGGCGAGGGGAAGGAAGCGGTCGGGCGATGCGAGGGACGCCACGCTATAGTACAATGGAGATGACGATCGAAGGGGGTGAGAGAAGAGCATGAGGTAGACAGGGACGACGAGCGGCGCCGACACGATACGACGCGGCAAGGAACGACGACGGACGCATCAAGACGAAAGGAGGAGGACGCCATTGACGCATCCGTCGTTTTCGGGGTTGTTGGTCACCTGGGCGTACTTGCCCCACACGACCTTGCCCGTCGTCGTCGTCATGCCCAGCTCCGACACGTTGACCTCGATGATGGTGCCCTTGGTCAGCACGCCCAGCTGCGTGTAGAGCGGCGAGTTGGGGTTCTTCTTCACGCCCACGATGGGCAGGTTGAAGGAGGCCTTGAGCTCGGCTGGCGGTGGCGGTGGCGCAGTGGGGAAGAGGGGGGGCAGGACGAGGTGAGTGGGCGAGGGGGTTGGATGGTGAGTACGGGGGCTGCAGCTGAGTGTCCGCGCCGCAGGAGAGGGATGCAGGCGCCAGGCGCCACTCACGATGCGTAATGTGGGCCTTGTTGTAGCGCAGGCCCATGGGGCGGATGAAGCGCTCGAGCTTGGGCGGCTTGCGGGTGAAGCTCTCGCCGACAAACGTGGGCTTGGTGACCATCCTCTTCCACCCCTTCTGCTTCCTCTTTCCCGTCTTGATGACCTTGAACGCCTCGTCCTCTGCGATGCCGCGGACCTGGGGCAGGGGCACGCTGTACCGTGCCGCCTTGTCCTTGCGCCTCTCCTTGACGGCGCTGCTGAGGGCCTTTGCGTCCTTCTGGCCCTCGCGGTCGAGGAGGTAGGCGGGCAGCGCCGTGTTGGGGTCGCTCGACGTCGAGGCCTGCTTGACGTCGCGCTCCTCGTGCGCCTTGATCGTCTTTTTCATCTGGATCTTTTCGGTGCGGTTCTTTTTGTTGAGCATCTTGGCCTTGAGGCCCGTCACCTTTTGCGCAAAGGCGGCGTTCTTGTGCACCTCGCGCGCCGCCTTTTTGCGCTGCCGCTCCTCGTGGTCCAACCGCCGGCCATGGCGTCGGATGTGCTCCTCGATGTACTCGTTCTGCCAGCGGCGGCGGGGAGCGCAGAGGGGCATGCGATGGGATGGGATGGGAGAGAATCAGTCGGTGAGTCGCCTGGAGGATTGGGATCGAAGCTGTGGGCCATCCGTCGCGCAACTCACCTGAGGCATGATGGACGGATGGCAGGTGTCGTCCTGCTACGGCGATGGGGTCGGCGGTGGTACGAGGTCGAGGTCGAGGCTAGAAGATCCAAGCTGCACTGCCAAGTGGTGGTGTGTGGATGGCCAAAAAGAGTCGGTGTTGTCGCTGGTGCTGGTGGCAATGGCGGTCCGTAAGGCAGGTAGCTCGAGACGATGATGGAGAGGTGGAGCCAGGTGGACCGATGGGCACCAGCCGGTGGCGCAGCGTACCAGCCAGACGGCGGCAGCAGCAGCAGCAGCAGCAGCACCAGCCACCAGCAACAGCAGCCACCAGCACCGAGGCCCAGCCTGCGCTGGAAGCTGCGCTGCGAATTTGCGAAATTTTTGTGGGCCCGGCCTAGCCTGGCTGGCCCCCCCCGCGTCCGGTGCCCGCGCCTTGACCCTGGCCCCTCGACCCTCGACCCTCCCTCCTGCTTTCGCCCGAGACGAGGCCTGGCAAAGCGCCGCCTGCTCGGTCGGGCCAGGCCAGGCCAGGCCAGCTCTCCGCCAAGCTGGCCAGCTGAAGCTAGCCCGCC